TAGTCAAACAATGCACAGTGGTTATATACAGACGCATGTAAGACACACAAACAGACTGTGTAAACGGTTTTAGCTGAATATATTATTGAGAGACACCTTTCGGTCAATTGCTCTATCCTCCAAAAGATGTGCATTTCAGAGTCAGTAAAACATTTCATTGTGTGCTTTATCATTCCATGGAGTGATTTATGCATACTGTAGATTTTTAGACTAAGCCGAATGACTCCTGTAACAAACAAGTCAGAACCATTGTCCACTTATGGTGGCCACTCGTTCCTGGTGCTACCAGTGATTGTGTAGAAATGGTTCAGTTCCCTTCAGTTCAGTTTAATTCAGTTTGGTTCAGTTCAATTCAGTTCAGGTGAGTTCAGTGACCATCTATAAAATATTCTCACTCTCTCAATTTCAAATATTGCCAGCTCAATATAAAAAGAAAGGCTCATTTAATTGATTTAACAGTTATTGAAAGGTGAGCATCAGCCAGTACACTGACCTTGGCTCTGTTTCAGGCACTGTAGAACATGCTTTAAAATGTTTCCTGACGCACAATAAGTAAGAGCAGCTGCCTGTAATTCAGCCTGACAAAACAGGACACATACTGTACTTAGCTTTATATAATCTCAAAATATCACATTATAGTTTTGATGTACAATCAATGTGTATGTGGGAGTAGGGTTTCCTTTACCATCATACTTACTGGGCATCATTCCCAGCCAACAGACACTCCAACTAACAAAACTGATAATATGCAATGAAAAATGTATTTCCTGAGTGAGACAAACACTGATAATGTCCCCAATCGCATTAGTTTGTCAAATTTTTGTGCACCAGTCATTCTGAGAGAGAGTGCACAGAGAATGGGTCAGGATAAGCTTTCACTTTTGAATTCATACATTACTTTCTGTACTATCAAACAAAACTGATCCTCATTCTTTTTAATGATGTAAGACTAGCTGGGGACCTGTAAATAGCTGACATGAACATTGTTCCTCATAACAAAAATGCATGAAACTCATTTCATGCAAATATTATACAAATATCAACATACAAATGATAACCAAGGCAATACCGAAAATATATGACTAATGTTAACTAACTAACAAGCTGGAAGAACAATGCCTTGGAAACTGTAAGCAGCCAAAAACAGTGATTTGAAGACTATGTGCGCTGTTTTTGCATTTTGTATGATTGTGTATGTGTGTGTGTGTGAATGTATATTTGTATGTTTGTGTATGTTTGTATGTGTGTGTATCTGTGTATGTGTGCTTGTGTGTGTGTACGTGTGCGTGTGTGTGTGTGTGTGTGTGTGTGTGCGCGTGTGTATGTGTACTTGTGTATTTGTGTGTGTGTGTGTCTGTATGTGTTTGCAGATTTGTGTCTGAGTGCAGGGGTCTAGTTGTAGTCTACAGAGAAGGGTGACTTGTCTTCTGCATGGCGCTGAGGGCACGGGTGGTGGGGGCAGTCTGCCTTGTGCCCACGCCGCTCGCTCTGCTTGGCGGAGGGAGGGTGCCGTGTGCCACCTTTCTCCCTGTCCCTCCTCCACTCCCTCTCCCCTACTGGGTTCTCTTGGTCGTTGTTGCAGCGGTGGACAAGGATGGGGTCATTGGGCGGGGACTTCTTCAACAAGAGGCGCTGCAGCACCTGTTTATCTGAGCGTTCCTTCCGGAAGTCATCTTCATAAACCTTCAGCTACACAAGGAGAGTCACGTAAAAGTCAAGCCAATATTCATATAACAGCAGGATGCAGCACAGACATAAAAAATAAATAAAACAGATAAAATAAAATAATTTTTTAACTTAAAAAAAAAAAAAAACTTTATTTTATTTATGTTAAGTTACTTGCTGCTTACCCCACCAGGATAGGAATCCACCAGTAGCCTGGTAGAACAAACAATGGACCCATACCGAACCATATATCATATGATTCCAGTATGAAAACATAATCCTACAATTGTGATCTTCAATTGCCCCAAAGTTAACTTTGCTTTGGGATGCCGCATTTGGCTCAGCTCTGTCCAGAAGATAAAGTAAGGTCAAGCACTGACCTGCTCCTGCAATAGCGCCATCTGCTGGCGCATCTCGCCTTCCTTCTTGCGCAGTTTCTTGTTCTCCAACAGCATGCGCTGGTGGCCTTTGTGCTCCATCTTGTAGTCAGCCTCATAGATCCGTGTCTGCGGAGAGGGTAACAAGTTAAACATCACATGTACCACCAGCTGCTTGGAGCAATGCTGTATAAACACACACACATGCACACACACACACACACACACACACACACACATGAACACACACACATAAACAAACACAAACACACAGACACACACATGCATACCTGCGCACATACACACACACACACACATACACAGACACACACACACACACACACACACACACACGCACACATACACAGACACACATGGATATGCACGCACAGCCAACAGCCATGTCTTATAGACATCCTCATATATTGCCCCACACACATTTACGTGGGTGCTAGATAACATCCTATCCTTTACTACATACATAAAATATGTACCAACCATATAGCGTTTCAGAACTGTACGCCTTTAACAAAATGCAGCACCCAAAGCTACAAGCCCAAACAATTTCACAAGGGAGGGGATTGTTGTGGTTACATTATTTGACCACTAGATGGTGATGTTGCAAGATGCTACCATGACAGTGAGTGCTCCCAATGTCTATACAAGCAAACAAAATCCAGGAACAGTACGAGAATGTAAATCTATGTAACACCATTTCTGTGAGGGACTGTCCAGCTCAGAAATCTTTCACAGCTGTAGCTGTATGGGGACAAATGATCTACGTGATTGTACACATACCTATATAGAAGTGTCACACTGACTCAGGAGCTCAGGAGTAGTGAAGTTGCAGGGAGACTCAATGGATATCATAGCTAGTTGTTAACAATTATATTTTGCAATCTCATAATTTTGGCATGCTCTATTACACACTATTTCTATAATAGTGACAAGGGTGATAAGAAAAATAATTAAAAATACAGTATTAAATAGTGGATGGGATCAGCACAGTACACATAGACATTTAACTGTTTTAAGGGACTAGCTGTGCTTTTGAGCCTGTGTGTGTGTGTGTGTGTGTGTGTGTGTGTGTGTGTGTGTGTGTGTGTGTGTGTGGGTGTGTGTGTGCATGCAGCAGTGCGTTGATGACTCACCTGGCATCGCAGTGCCTCTAGCTGATCTTTCAGGTCCCGCACCTGTTTCACGGTGATGGCTTCTTTCTCCAGCTCCCCGCAGGGAGAGCTCCTGTTTGCCTGGCTCCTGCTCCTTCTGTCTGAAACAGCAGAGGGTGACCCCGGTGGCAGAGTGGGGTTACAGCGGGACCCCTGGCATTCCTCTCGGCTGGACTCAGATGGGCTGCCTATTTGTGGGGGTCGAGCCACCTCCAATCCGTTCTGCAAGAGGAGACATTTACATTTACATGTATCCATTTAGCAGACACTCTTATTCACAACAGCTTTCTAAGCAAGAGTAAAATCAGGACAGACAGGGGTGAGTACACTGAGGGGTAAAGATACAAGCATGCAAATACTCACCAGAATGCCCCCTAGCCAATCTCTGTCAGTTTTGCTGTGGTGCAGGCGGGCTTCCAGCAGTCGAACATACTCCTGCAGGTGCTGGTTCTTCTTAAGCTCCTGCAGTAGAGTCTGCTCATAGTACTCCCTCTTACTCTGAAGAAACAGGACCCGCAGGGCGTGTCAGTGGGCATTCTCAGACACACACACACACACACACACACACACACACTCACTCACTCACACACACACACACACACACACACACACACACACACACACACACACACACACACACTTGAATCCAGCAGCCCGCCCACGTGCAGCCCACAGGGTCCTCGACAGAGTCACGCCCCACGCTTTCGAAGCCTCCCGCTCTCCGCACGCAGGTACCTGCTCGTGCTCCACTTTCAGCAGCAGTCTGCTGTTGAGCTGCTTGAGGGCGGAGCTCTCCTGCTCCAGAGCTCCCAGACGCTGCTGCAGGCCCATGGTGGTGCTGCGGTAGATGTGGTCCCAGTCCTCGTTCAGCTTCATCAGCTGGCACACACACAAAGCAGGGGGGTTAGGGTCCGCTGTGTGCAGATGCCCAGCCGATGCGCAGCCTCCAGTATACAGACGCAGGGGTGCAATCCAATAAAAAAGTTGTATTAACCCCCCCTTCTTCCCCCCTTTGCCTCTCCCACTGCCTTCCTCCTGGGCTCCCAGGCCAACCCTTGATGGTAGTGACTCACCATGTTTTGGCAACAGCACTAATGGATAATACATGAGAAGTAAGCAACATATGCCACCCTGAATACGGGTGTTCGCTAAGCAGATAATGACTGTAATGTAACACTCTGGACGAGTTTGCGGCGAGCGCCATGCTACGGAGGAGGCCCGCTGTGCCCGCACCCACGCCCGCGGCGTCCCTCACCTCCTTGTTGAGCCTGCGCAGCTCCGTGTTCTTGTTCAGCAGCAGCAGCTTCTCCTCGTCGCCCGAGGTGACCGACATGCTCTCCGTGATCAGGGTCACCGGCTCCTCCTCGGACAACAGCCTGTCCCCCCCCTGCGAGACGGCATCTGCTGCCCTGGAACGCACACAACACATGCACACATTCATAGTACAACCGAGCGTGGAAATGACGGTATCACAAACACCAAAAACCGAACTCCTCAAAGCAGCAATGCACGTGCTATAGTCGGCCTCACAGTTACAAAAGGCCAGTGCCACTGACAACCCTCCCCAGGCAAACCTGAGTGCCTCAATCCCAAATGTGCCAGTGCCCTACAGGCCAACCACATATTATTATTATATTATGTTGTATAATATTATATTAGTGGCATTTAGCAGACGCTCTTATCCAAAGTGGGCTACAATTTATACATGCTATCCATTTGTACAGCTATGCAAATATTTTACTGAGGATATTCTGGGTTAAGCACCTTACCCAAGGTTACAGCAGCAGTGCCCCAGTGGGAAATCAAACCACCAACCTTCCGGTTACAAGCCCTATTCCTTACCACTATGCTACACTGGCTCACCATGTTGTAGTTACGTGTACTGAATACGAGGAGCCCATCGTGAACAGAAGCATCATAGCTGAGGTAGCATAGCTAAGCCTGTGCTGCCCGCACCATGCTGTCTCGCGCGCTGTGATGTGAATCTGCAGTGAGACTGCAGGTTCGACCGGGTCTGTGATTTCCACTTTCTTTCCTCGCTCACCGTGACACATTCTGACACGGTGCAGAATTTCCCCGGTCAGGGGAGTGCCTCTCTGGAAGGGAAGCTGAGAGCGGCCACTTCACTGATTCAGGCTCAGCGTGACAGACAGAGGCCAGAACCGCGCCCCGGCTCATACGTTCTCCAGCTTCCCCTTTTTCAGTCTCCGTCACGTTGAATTCAGAGCAGAGGTTCCAGTTTGCAGCTGCTTAATGTCTGACTCACTGAGAACAACTTCCTCTTATTGTGCCTCCTCCTTAATCAGGGTCCTTTTAATTTTTCACCAATCTTTGCAACACCCCCCCTCCCCCCCCCCACCCTGAACCCATCTGGCTGCAGCCTCTAAAAAATTCCAACTTAAGCCACATACAGAGCTCCCTTTTAAATAGACACTAGAGACCAGAGGGGTATTTGTTGATTATTTGCTTTCAATCTGTGTGTGACCAAATTAAAATTTATCTGTTCCCAGTATGCTGCCAAATACTTCCAGGAATTATATTTGCAGTTTATTATTCATTGTATTCAGCCTGGTTTTCATATTTTCAAGGTTTCAGCCATTTAAACTTGTATATAAAATATCAGTACAAATACAAATGACAAAACAATACAAACCTGTAAAACCAAAATTCCTCCCCTTAGTTTACCTTTCTTTACATAATTCATTTTCCAAAGAAGATTACAGCAGAATATTAGATTTATGTATACTGTTTCCATTACCCGAACATCATATTATATATTAAGAATAACTCCGAGAAAAGCTGTTAGAATGTTAATTTATGGTAATTTCAGCTGTGTGGTAAATGGCTTCCACTCCTACGGTTGGAAGGGCTTGGGAAATGAAAACAAGAACAAACTGCACAGCAAAGCTGGGCTGTGGGGTGAACAGTGTACCTAGAAAACAAAGATAAGAGACATAATCGCATTCTCACTATCCCAGTTCACAAGCACAGCCCTAATGAAAACACAGAGACCAGACCCCACACTGGCACAGAGCCTAAAATGTACAGCTAATCCCTTACCACAGACCTCCAGTGCAAAAGAAAAATGGCGTCGCCTTCTATGGCTTGTGATTACTGATACAAATGGTCTGAATCTGCACTGTTATCACTTGTGGAGACCATTCACTGAATCCATTTTGGAGTAGCTGCTGGCAGTCAGTCCCAATCCATTGCACGACCCTCTACATGCATGACATACTACCACTGGGTGAACTGTCCACCTCTCCCTAATTCAGCATCTGGTTCTGAAGGAAAGCCAGAATTGAATCTTCTGAATACCTGATGGTTCTGTCATTGCAGAATGGCTCTGTATCACAAACAGAAGCAGCGTGCAATTCCCAGCAGTGGCCTTTGTGATATGCCTATTCCATACATAATGAACATTCACTTACTGAAAGTCATAGGGTTCGTAACCGAGGGGGTTGCTGCTTTGACTCCCTGCTTGGACACTGTTTTTGTACCCTTGTGCAAGGTACTCAACCCACAGTTCCTTAAATATCCAGCCGTATAAATGGATGAAATTGTAACCTATGTATGTCGCTCTGGCTAAGAGCATCTGCAAAATGACAATAATGTAATGGAATACATTAAGAAGCAACAGAAAGTGATCAATGCCTATACTTTTGCCTTGGATGAGGGACACTTCACAATGCCTTTGCAATGCCATAACAGAAAATATATTTTTGAGATAATATACCAGAAATATACCAGATATTAAAAGTATTTCACTCAATCCACTTCAGCATTCACACAGTGCTGTGAGTCACAAGACCTGATGCATAGCTTGGCATCAGTGATACATGCAAGTGGTTTTTGGAAGATCATGGGCACAGAAATGTGAGTCCTGAGGACAGGACTGATGGCACTGCCCTGTGGCCCCAGCTACACTAAACTGTGAGACAGTCACTGGTCAAACCACATCTCTCTAGCCACATTAAATTTCATAGACATACGCAAAGTGAAGCTTCTTGTCTCCTCTTTTTCTCACAGTATTTTTCTCTTTTTTTCCTTTCAGAAGTTGAAATATGCGACCCAGTTTCACAAAGTTTTCAATCATGTCTGCCTCCTTGGAAGGACACCAAGACGTGTTTTTTTTTCAGCACCAAATGAGAATTTATTGTCATCTGATGTGAAAAAGGAGAAAATAATATCTCCCCCTCGCTAACTCTGGAAGGCTAAAAGTTATCAGAATAATGCATCATCCAATCGAGCGGTCAGCAGCAGCAACAATTTTAGTGGGTAAAATACTGTGGGGAGCCTTCTGCCACTGGTATATTTTCAAATCTCTCATCTGCGCTGAAACACAACATCTAAAACATATCAGAGCTCTGCTGTGTCCAGAACAAATCAACAAATTGAGGGTTGCTGTACTGGAACAAAGAAGGCAATGTTTGAGGAATAGAAATGCCATTATAATAGTGTTTCTACACTGGAGTTGCAGTTACGCCTTCTGCCAAGTTAGGGGTTGAAGTGGCATATCCTGTACCTACACAGCATATCTGTCCTATAGAAATAATCACAATGACCCTGAAATATTGCAAATGCTTACTTCTGTACCATCTAATCTAATTTGAATGCAGAGAATTCAGATACAACTAACACCAAACAGCTCCATAATACATGGCCAAAATTGGACCATTGTGCAGTTTACTCCTTATCCTCTGCACCATTGAACTCTTCCAGTACCGCTGAAAATTCAACACATTCAGCCATAGCAACCTCTTTTTGTTGCAGCAAACTGAAAGTTGGCTGCCTCCATTGACATGTAAAACATTATGGGTAAGACTGCAGATACATCTAATGTGAATGGACAGTTGGGCCACAATATGCCACTGGAGGTGGAAGGTTTTGCCTGTAAGAATGAGAAGTCAGCTCATCTGAACACAAACTCCCCAATCTCCTCTGCTTTACACTCACGTCACTACGTGTCCCATTCTACATATCTGAGCCCTTGCGTCCTTTCAGTGTGCGTGTGTTTCATTCTAACACTTCAGGTACCCAACAAAAACACATATCTGTAACATAAATGCTTTCATCATACAAAGCATAAAATAAGGCTGCCATTTGAAGTTTTTACATCTCCAGCACAGACAACATGCAAACATCAGGTTTACTAACTTGTGCAAACTACACTGTATATTCTACATAGAACATACACATTTGCGTAAATAGTTGTGCCACTCATAGTACTGATACTGATAAAATGCCACCTATGACTAACAATTTGCCAGTATCAACAGAAACACAAACAAATGACAACTATTTCAGATAAAATGCTACCCAACTTTTTCTTATATCTCATGGTAATCAGCACACAAAATGTGATAATGATACAACGACATAGCTTAGATGCGATATCTCTCGTGACAATTATCTTTATATGTTCACAACAGATACAGATCTTGATATGGACAAAACAGTGCAACGCTTTCACTATGACGTTCTGCTTGTCACGTGCTTTTGTGAATATTCCGCATGACACAACATGGGAAATTTTCGTAGTTTTCTCTGTAGGTTTATTTCTTTTTTTTCTATTATTTCAAAAGACACTAACCTCAATCGCGAATACATCTTTTTAAATGATATTTGACTATGCTTGTATTTGGGATCAGCTATGAATAGCAACCATGTTCGTATCAGTAGCAACTGAGGTACAATCACAGTTAATAATGACATAATACAGATGGCACGAATAAACTCCAAAAGAAATAAGTTAACGTGGCTGACAAAAATGTGGCATTTTAAGATAGTGATGATCCTTGTGGTCGCCTGTCTTTGTGTTTTTCAAAGGGGCAACGATCATTATAGATTCACTGTAACTGAACTAACTATATTAGTAACAAAAAATGCTTCAAGGTGGTGTAATTACAGTGTTGTAGACCCGGTGCTGAACTCACCCCGTGACAGAACGATGTTGTGCTTGAACGTCTTCTTCTGGACCCTGAAGAGCTGACTGATCGTGTGACGGGTGCTCCTGTTCAGAAGATGAAGAATGCGAAGACAGAGAACTTCCATCCATTGCAGTTTCCGAATCCCAGCTGATCCAATTGAAAGTATCGCGTTGCACCACTCGTTTCAAGCTCTTTGGCAAAGTGAAGAATGAAGCGTCCACGCTACAAACGCTGTTTATTTAATCGTCAGTAACTTTCGATGAGGAAGTTCAGAAATCAAACAAACTCTTGGCCACACACATACTCACAAAGCATATCAAAAAGGGGAAGTCACAAAACAATCAGCCAGTGATTTGCAATGTAGAGGTGTGGGTGGGCTTGTTAGAGTGCAGTAGTTGTAAGTTTAACCCCTTACCACAAAACAAAGCTTATAGTAAATATGCATCAATATTACAATTATTCGATGTAATCACGTTAATATTGGACACTTAGCCATATTATATCTATGTAGAGCTTCGGTTGTGTCAATCCTCGTGTGTTCTTTGGCTATAAATTATATATTTTATATATACACATTTATAAGCTTTAATTAAAAAAAAAACCTTTTTAGGATAAATGAATCCGTGTTACGCTGCTCTTGTCTGTCTAGTATGTTTGACTGTCGTCAATCAGAAACGAGGAAGTAACTGCACAAAAATAGGACAGCGAAGCATCGCGGGGGGAAATTCCACCACGTAAACATTAGGGCATGTTGAGTTTCTGTGGTAACAGACCTCAGCTTCTTTTCGACGCAACTTGTATCGTGACAGGCCAATAACCAGTATTACAGTCCGGTTTACTGTACATTACATATCTATCTATCTATCTATCTATCTATCTATCTATCTATCTATCTATCTATCTATCTATCTATCTATCTATCTATCTAT